AATCCCACTATTCGGTCATACTAGGGTAGCCCTATAGCTGGTAGTGGGTGCTGTTAACTAGCTGATGTCCTTTTATTCTTTCAGTTGAGAATTAGGGACGGCTAGTGCAGATAGCCCTTATGAGTTCTAAATGAAAAAAAACAACAAAAAAACATGAGTTACAAGCCGTATAGATGACTTAGATAGAGTTAGAAAAATACGAATAGAAAAATTCTGTCAAAATTTAGATATACAAATTTCAATTTAATGGTACATTATTAAAGATCTATATATTCAAATAAAGCGAGCCAAAATATGGATTGTTAACGTAGTTAACACTATTGTTAAATCTAAAAACGACAGTTCTGTATGATGATAAGAGATATTTGATTTTATAATTTAATTAGACAACATAGTTCTAGGTTCACTCACACATGGATTGTGATTGTTTCACACGTCACCACAGAACCCTGAGGCTCCACGTGTCTGGGTTTAAATTGATTCGAGACGTGACCCTATTGAGAACGATACGCACTTTTAGCTATAAGTGCGCTAAGAAACAGTCAATCCTGTTATTCCATTCAAAGGAGCTAGATGAAGTTTCTGTGACGGTTGGTTTTGCTAGTTGGTGTTCCCCTGGTCAATAGTTGAGAATTACGACTATACCTGAATTCTAGGGTCCTCTAGGGTTGGAAATTCCTATTTCTCGTATTAAAAATAAAACAAAAAAGTTGCAAAACTGAGTCCAGACCGAAATAAGGAATAATATATATATATAAATCCTGAAAAGGAAAAATACCACATAAACCTTTGGGCACAAAATTTACAATTTATCTTAACTTAGAAGAACAAACATAAAATTGTATCAGACTTTTCATTATCCCTACATAAACAATGTAGCAGAACATCTGTCTGTAGAGTTACATTTAACCACATGAACAATATGGCAGGACTTCAGCCTGTAGAGATACATTTAACCACATGAACAATGTGGCGGGACTTCATCCGGTAGAGTTACATTTAACAACATGAACAATGTAGCAGAACATCTGTCTGTAGAATTACATTTAACCACATGAACAATGTGGCGGGACTTCATCCGGTAGAGTTACATTTAACAACATGAACAATGTAGCAGAACATCTGTCTGTAGAGTTACATTTAACCACATTAACAATATGGCAGGACTTCAGCCTATAGAGATACATTTAATCACATGAACAATGTGCAGGACATCCGTCTGTAAAGTTACATTTTACCACATGAACAATGTAACAGTAAATCTGTCTGTAGAGTTAAATTTCACCAAATGAACAGTGTGGCAAGACATTTGTTGGCAGGATATCTGTTTGTAGAGTTAGATTTACTTGTATAAACAATGTGGAAGGACATTTGTTGGCAGGATATCTGTTTTTAGACTTAGATTTACTTGTATAAACAATGCGGAAGGACAGTTTGTTGGCAGGATATCTGTTTGTAGAGTTAGATTTACTTGTATAAACAATGTGGAAGGACATTTGTTGGCAGGATATCTGTTTGTAGACTTAGATTTACTTGTATAAACAATGTGGAAGGATATTTGTTGGCAGGATATCTGTTTGTAGACTTAGATTTACTTGTACTAACAATGTGGAAGGACATTTGTTGGCAGGATATCTGTTTGTAGACTTAGATTTACTTGTATAAACAATGTGGAAGGACATTTGTTGGCAGGATATCTGTTTGTAGACTTAGATTTACTTGTATAAACAATGTGGAAGGACATTTGTTGGCAGGATATCTGTTTGTAGACTTAGATTTACTTGTATAACAATGTGGAAGGACATTTGTTGGCAGGATATCTGTTTGTAGAGTTAGATTTACTTGTATGAACAATTTGGAAAGACATTTAAACAGCTTATACTATATGCTGAATGTGGTAGAACATTTGTTTGGACAGTTAGAATTAACTACATCCAAGACACCTGTTTGTATAATTATTCTTAAGATAAAGTTTACTAGAAACATAAGTCCACACACACACACACACAACGGGTCCTGCAAAGCTCAACGGTACGTCTGAATGCTTATAACACTAAAAACCGGGTTTCAATATACCCGCAGTGGGCACAACACGGCTAGCCCATTGTGTAGCTTTGTGTTTAACAACAAACAAACCAAAGATGAAACATTTGTCTAGCTCAAAAGTAATAGAGTAAGTAATTTTCAAAAATAAAATGTTTTATTGAATCCGTAAGTAAGCTGAGAAACAATATTGTTAAGCCATGGATTACTTACCACCTTTTACTTGAGTAACGAAGCACATTATGCTAACATAATTATAGGTAGTTCTACCTATTGTTAACATCCTTTGTTAATATATATAGGTAGTTTTCTCAAAATAAGTCACTGCAACATTTCTGTGAATAAATGTTCCAACTTAATTATTATGATTCTATGTGACGCAATTATTAACGAAGTAGTTTTATGTACACATTGTTGTAAGAATCTATTGTAATAATATTCAGGTTCTGTTTGTACTGCAATTGTGTGCGCATTTCATTCCAACGGATGTAAACAAAACGCGGATGTAAATATACTTTAGTAGACATTTTGTACAACAACATATTTAAAGCTTATCAAAGTTTCTGAAATAGTTTAACGTTAGGTCGTAGAATAACATTATACGTTTATTTATTGATAGAATAAAGAACGGTAAAGTTTAGCCCGGCGCTAAACTAAAATTTACACAAGTTACAGAGTTAATTTATCTCTTTATTGAAAATAGGCCGTACTTAATAAGGGTTTAACTAAAGTTAGGCTAAGACATGTGGACTTATAGATTTCGGTGCTTGTGATTAGAATTATTTTGTTTCATTCTAGAAATTCTGTATTTAAAGAAGTATTGTTGCAATAAAGATACTAATTTGACCGCAAATGTTTTACGGGTTTCTGCTAATATAAAATTAAACTATGCATATAACAGATTGTTATTTGATTAAATTAGCATAAATGGAATTACAAGATAGAATTGAGAGAAAGACAAAACATAGCATGAAGAATAATCAGTAGAATTTATTTATGTACTTTGCCATATTGTCGATATTCTTTTAATTTCAGATACGCTGTTATGTCCCCCCTGTAGAACAGCGGTAAGTCTATGGACTTAAAACGCTAAAATCCGGGATTAGACTCCCCGCAGCCAACACATGGCTTTGCTCTAGAACAAACAAAGACAAAAAAGTACGCTGTTAATATAAGTGATGTTTTGAAATAGCGCAAATATACTGGGTATGATAATTTAATTTGTCTCAATATGTCTAAAAAAGCACAATATCTGAGCTTAATCAAAGGTTTCGAAGGTACTGGCTATCTAACTATCTGGAGTTTTTACAAGGTATATTTTTGTCAATTGATATTCCAAAATATTTGACATAGACTTCGTTTTTAAATATCAATATCAAAAGGCGTATTTCACTTCCTGTTGGTTGAGAAAAACATTAGCAGGAATGGAAGTGGAACATATAATACGAACTATGTTCTATAAACTATGTTATATTATTAATGCTCCCCAGTGGCACAGCGGTATGTCTGCGGACTTAAAACGCTAGAATCCGGGTTTCGATACCCGTGGTGGGCAGAGCATAGATAGCCCATTGTGTAGCTTAGTGCTTAATTACAAACAAAAACAAACAATCTATTACTAATATATATATATATAAACACTACGAAAAACTTTAATTCTATTCAGAATGTTATATAATGCGTTCTTTTTTTGCTATTTTTCTGATACAGAGATTTACGCTTTTGCAGAAATAACTGCTATTTTAGGCTTAGGCTTATATATATATTTCTGACTGTATATTTGTAACTAACTCTTAAATGTGTACGTATTTGTTTCAATATTTATATTAGCTGATCTTGAATATTTCATATTTAATCCTTGAAACTTTTTCTTCTTTTATTTATCCAAGCGTTTAGAAATTCAGTGGTCTGTAGAGAAACCTTGGAATTAATTAGATCGTCTACTTACATGGACAATATTTTAGAAACAATTTCTTTCAATTCGGGCTCAGTTATTCAAACGAAACCATTTTAGACAAAACCAAAAGATGTCCTTGACTATGTGCTAGCACGAATAGACTTTAAACACCACTGCAAAAACAACTAACCATGTAATAATTACAATTTGTACGCTCCATCTGCGTGTTGTTCACCCATGCCCGCCAGCTCTGACAGTGATGATACATATCTACTTGTATTAACCCCAACAGAAGATATTTAGGAAAAAAAACCGCAGACAGGCGTGACCGTGACATACATCGAAATTCTAGAGACGGCAGCTGTGGCGAATATCTAGAACAGCTAGTATTGTACATCAGTCGAACTGTGCTGTGCTTACTGATTTATTTCATTTAGCCACGCAAAAACACACCTCAATTTTTAGCAGGTGAATCTGACATAATTTCTACGAAGGCGTGGTGGTCAATATAACAAAAATAGAACACACTGGGTGCATAAAAATAATATAAAAAAAACAATGCTATCCTAGTTCTTGCCTTAAGTATAAGATCTAACATTACAATGTATACTGCTCTTGAGTATGATACGAGAGGGTTATCGACATGTGGCTTGTCATAATTAAACATAAACAATGAAATATGAAAAAAAGTTAAACTAAAAACACACAATGTTACCCTAATTCTTGCCTCAAGTTATGTAGGGTTTACTTTGAAGACCAGAATATCACACGGATAAGAACTAACATTACAATGTATACCGCTCTTGGTTATTGGTATGAGAAGGTTATCGACACCATAAATACACACAAACACAGAAATCTGAAAAAAATTAAAAAGTTCGACTACTCGTTCATTAGTGACGTGTAAATCTTAGGATTAAAGGAGAACGCCCTACGCTACGGTTCATCTTCCCATCCATATAAAAAGGAAGAGCAGGTGCATTATTATCAGTAGTGTTCGAGAATAGTCCCATGATTCACAGTAGTGTTCGTATCCTGATCTAAGGTTTGTCTTTACAGAATGGAAGCACGGGTGAGTATTTTAGTTGTTTTTGTCCTTTAGAAGCGTAGAAATTGAAGGTTTAGAAAAGATACTTGAAGCACAAATTGAACATAAATGTTGGAGTTACTAATACGATTTTTGAAGCTTCCCTAAAAATTGAAGATAATATATTTTCCTGCGTGAAAAGAATTGCACCACTGAAGTAGCAGTTATACGATTTTAGACATGTCGGTGATATTAAATAGCATGTGACTGACCCAAGTAGTTCACTCTGGTGTCTTTAATGTACATTATGTTTGTGAAAAATACCGAGTATAATTGTTTACAGTGTACAAATATGTCATAGATATCTGAAGTGGTTGTACGAACATAAATGACATAAAAAACAAACCACGGCACAAGTAACAAAATATATTAAATCCTTTTTGGACAGGTATCAGCGGATGTAATTTGCCACATAGGTGGGGTTACACCGTATTTGTGTTTTCGAATTTCCCACTAAGCTACTAGCCGTCCCTAATTTTGAAGTAGTGGACTAACGGGAAAGCATCTATTCAGCACCACCCATCCTTAACATGTAGCTACTTTAATCGAATAGTGTGATTTGACCGTCACTCTTATAACTCACCTACAGCCCCGAAGTGTGGAGCGCGTGTTTTTTCGGCCGTAAGGGGATGATACACTTTGTGCCAGGTTTCGTAGTTATTCGTAAGCCTCACAAATGATAATGATTTTTAATTAAGATTAATATATACTGGAATAGTATCAATACATGCAATTTGCCATAGAAGTGGGGATACGCCATTTATCAGATTTCGTATTGTTCGCAAAACTTATAAGTGATATTGATTTCAAATCAAAATTAGGAGTAGATGTGGGTGTTCCAGTCCTTAAAGTTCCATCGTTTACTGTCTCCAATCAGTTTTGGGAAGGTAATAATTCTTAGTAAAACAATGTATGATGCAATAGTGCCGTTTTATAATTTAAATTCTCAGAGCACGTTTTCTGTTTTCACTATAGTTTGACCTTTCGTTTTATTTGTGCTTCTCTTGTTTTAAACAGCAATGGTTTTACAATAAACAAATATCTTTACGCTAAACTGGCAATGAATTGGAGAGAAACGTCTTATCAAGCAAAACTATTGTATTAGAACGTGTAAATTGGAGAGAAACGTCTTATCAAGCAAAACTATTGTATTAGAACGGTATTAAATGGGAGAGAAACGTCTTATCAAGCAAAACTATTGTATTAGAACGTGTAAATGGGAGAGAAACGTCTTATCAAGCAAAACTATTGTATTAGAACGTATAAATGGGAGAGAAAGATCTTATCAAGCAAAACTATTGCATTAGAACGTTAACTTGTTGCAAAATGCTGTTGTTATCTAGTGAAGGACAGCACTCAGTCTTAAACATACAACATGCAACGTTTTTGTGATTATTACAGTCAATTTTGGAAATATATAAAAGACGCTACACTATAAGTGACTCAAAGTTCAGTAGTGTGGAATACAAATAAATATAATGTGCACCGACGCAGGTTCTTTTATTTACAGTCCCTCGGTGGTACAGCAGTAAGTCTATGGGCTTACAACGCTACAATTCGGGGTTCAATTCTTTTCAGTGGCCACAGCAGGTGATAGCCCAATGTGACAAACAAGCTTTTCTCTACAAATTATCAGATTAATGAATAACTTACTTTCTATAACTTAGTTTTTAAAAGCTCTTAATATGGATCAACTTGGAAGGCATGGAGTAATTTTACAGTGTTTACTATTATCATCGCGTGCGTAATAAACACGACTTTAGATTTTGCAACAATACAATAAATATTTATTTGCTTTTTAGCTGTTTACAGTATTTTGGTATATTCTTTTCATGGCTGTCTTTTTTAGTTATCAACTTTGTGGTCCTGTAGCTTGTATAAGCTGTTTTGTTACTTATGTTTTTAAGATTTATGGATTTATGAGCCCTAAAAAGACTTCGAGCATCTATAAACATTTACACACAGTCCATACAATTTTTCTATCGCCTAAATTTCTAAAACTAAAACAAAACCAAAAAAAAAAAAACAACAACAACAAAGTTTAATAAAATATTCTAAAGTAAACCGCTTTTAAAATTATATGTATTAACACAAATAGTATTCATATTTTCAGTTCAGAACTCACCACATGCTTGGGCTAAACGGTGAAATCAGAAAACCCTCAAATACAGTCATGAACATTTACAATATATATCTATTGTCATTAAACGAATAACAGGATTTAGTGTCACAGTTATAAGGTCTCTAAAGCTGAAAGTGCGGATCGTATTCATTAGTATATCGTGAGTCGAACCCTAGACTCTCTGATGTATATCTGAGTATGCTAATCATTATTTGGCATTAGATCATGCTCGATCCTTATTACAAATGATTTGTTTTATGTATGAAGATACAATTACAAAACACATTAGATGACAAAGTGTACACACACACAAACACATATATATATATATTTATTTATTTTACAGAGAATTGCTATAAGGCTGCTTCTCCTCCTAGCGGCAGTTTATCTAGCGTCAGGAAAGGGATATGGCAGTAAAAGTGGTGGACATGGTGGTGGCGGATACGGAGGCCACGTTGGTGGCTACGGAGGTGGAAAAGGTGGCGGCGGATATGGAGGTTATGGTGGTGGATACGGGGGTGGACATGGCGGTAGCGGATATGGAGGTTATGGTGGCAGACACGGTGGTGGTGGAGGATATGGTGGTTATGGTGGTGGAGGACATGGAGGTTATGGTGGTGGACACGGCGGTGGTATAGGATATGGTGGTTATGGCGGTGGAAGCTATGGAGGTTATGGTGGTGGACACGGCGGTGGTATAGGATATGGTGGTTATGGCGGTGGAAGCTATGGAGGTTATGGTGGTGGACACGGCGGGGGTAAAGCATATGGTGGTTATGGTGGTGGAAGCTATGGAGGTTACGGTGGTGGACACGGCGGTGGTAGAGGATATGGTGGTTATGGAGGTGGTAAGAGTGGTGGAGGATATGGGAAGAGCGTTGGAGGTTACGGAGGTGGTAAGGGTGGTGGAGGATACGGAGGTGGTTATGGTGGCGGCGGTTACGGAGGTGGAGGCTATGGTTATGGCGGATTATATGGAATTCTCTGTCATTACCCCACTCATACTTCTGTTAAAACCCACAATAGTTATGGGGGTGGATATGGAAGTTATGGGGTTAAAGTGCCGGTATTTACTGTGCTTGGGTATAGTAAGCACAGTGGGGGTTATGGAGGAGGCTATCACTGATAAAAAAAAAAAATATTCACTATGATTTACCAAACTAAGTAAATGCCAGCATAAATGTTTGTTTAGATTAACTCAAATAACTAAATAGTCACTGGCTTTGACTTAGTGTGAAATATTTGTAAATATCCGTGTGTATATTGAATGTATGTGGTCGTCAGACTCCAGGAAGGGTATTTTATGTCACTTATGTATATATATATCTGTATAGAATTTTGTGAAATTAGCCCATGCAATTTATACATGAACATGTGTTTTGTTATATTTACAGAAATCTTACCAGGTTCTTTGTTTTTGTAACGGTTTTACTAAACATAAAAATATGTACATACACTCTTGTATAATACTCTCGAAGCTTAGTTTTGTAAATAAAATAGAATTTGACTGATGTTTTCTCTGCGAGAGCTTTGGGTTCAGTATATAAATATGTATACTCGGGGACGATACTTACACACAAATTATAGAAACTGATGAAACACGACAGAAATATGTATACTCAGGGACGACACTTACAGTTAAAGTATAGAAACTGATGAAACACGATAGAAATATGTATACTCAGGGACGACACTTACACACAAATATAGAAACTGATGAAACACGATAGAAATATGTATACTCAGGGACCGACACTTACACACAAATTATAGAAACTGATGAAACACGATATAAATATGTATACTCAGGGCCGACACTTACACACAAACTATAGAAACTGATGAAACACGATATAAATACATATACTCAAGGCCGACACTTACACACAAATTATAGAAACTGATGAAACACGATAGAAATATGGATACTCAGGGACGACACTTATACACAAATTATAGAAACTGATGAAACACGATATAAATATGTATACTCGGGGACGACACTTACACATAAATTATAGAAACTGATAAAAAACTATATAAATATGTATATTCGGGGACGACACTTACACACAAATTATAGAAACTGATGAAACTCGATATAAATAAGAACGAACATGATATTCCACTTCGCATAATTTCTTAATCCTTTCAACAAAAAAGTTGCAATTTGTATTCTATGTGAAATAACATTATGAACTTTCATGTCCTTCGACTTAAGTAAAAATAAATTCTGACCAATAGTAAGAATACAATGTAGCCCAGAATTAAAAAGTAACTTATAAGTCATTGAAGCTATTACTAATAACAAACTGATTAGACGTATTCCGTGCTGTAAAACAATACAGAAGAAAACTAAATCCTATAACGATTAGAAAGCGTTGAACCATCGTTTGGGAACCTTTGCATTAAAATAGTTTCTATATATACGTACAGAGGTTTGAGTACGTTATATCTAAACGTTTTCAATATGAAAGTCAGCAAGTCACGTGACAATCACATCAGATGTAAAGTCGTGGTGGAAAAGAACGTCTCAGAACAATATTTTGATAATCCTTTACAAAGCAAAAAATATTCATATAGTCAGATCATAAAAATTTGTTCAGCTCGAAGATTTAGATTTTCCAAAACATGTACTTAATAGCATTGGAAAACAAAAGAATATGGATCAGCTTGGGGCACCAGCACCATGCATAAAGAGACATGCACAAGTCGTGCCCCAGCCATGGTAAGCAAAGTGTAACATCTTGTAACGAGTAAGAATCCAAGAACAAAAAGAGCAGAGGCAAAAGTGCCCCAAGCAACAATAAGCAACATAATGAAGAAGGATTCCCACCTGGAAAAACGACACAAGTCACGTGTGCACAGTTTGTTTACACGATATCCGTTCAACCGTCGTATATCTTAAACATTTAAAGAAATAAGCAATTACTCGTCCTTTTCCATAAAAACACACGTCTGTCAAGTCGTCAGATACTACACTTATGGATTTTTGTGTAACAAAACTGTTGAGAGGGGCTCTGGGAAACCATAGCCCTCGTACACTAGAAGCATTATGTAAAGCATGCAAGTAACAGTGGTGTCCCTTCAATATGATAACCTAATAACGACGTGGAAAAAACAGAAGCAAGAAACAAAACAATGCAAAACGTAATTATAAAAAAAAATATTACTCTCAGATGAAATTAAGAAAACGCAACGTTTATGTTTGTTTAAATAATCA